GCAGCGCGATCCCTCTCCCCTCGCCATGTTACTAAGATAAAAATCCGGGGGGACTCACCTACGCAACGGCTGACAATGGGTGAGCTCGGTCTCTTGAAGATGCGACGTATTTTCCAACACGATGAGAAGGCCGCTCCGCCTCCCACTGAGCGGTATGTGGGCACCCTATTCACCAAGGCAGGGGATGAGGTGCTCCACAAATACACCACACCTACCGCCACTCCGTCCACTACCAAGGAGGAGCAATTTTGCATTCGAGGAGTGCGAACTCCCGGCAGTGGGTATGGAAAAGGATTGCTCCGGCCTTTGACGACATCGGAGAAGGAGGGGGCAGCGGAGTCCCTTAGCCCTCCACCTATGAAGGTGAAGCATCATTTGACGCCCCCTCCAATTGTAAGGGCACCCGGCCAGTTTCAAGAAGATGAAGTAAAATCGCCGGAGCCCTCGGTCCATAAACTCGCCGTTCAAGTGAAGAAACTCCGCAAGGAGAACATAGAGCTTAGGGATCGCAACGCGGAACTAGGGGTAGAGCTTACTGAGCTTAGAAACAATTTTGATACCCTTAGTCGTGGTTTGTGCACTAAGATTAAGCGTGCATTCATAGAGATGGGGAAGGAGAAAAAGTATTATGCTAATTGGATGTCTCCTCTCCCATGAATAAAGTAGTAGTGGTTGCTTGGTCATTTATTTTCCAATCATGCAAGTACTTGCTATAAATAATGTGGCTCATTGGTGTTAACCCCAATGTATGCCAAGTTTGTTTTTGTTTCATGTTTAAGAAAGTTCAGGTTTCGAATAAGTGTGGGGGAGATATCCCATCTTCTGACGTGCACATACTCTGAAAATTACTGAATTTCTGAACACCTGGAAAGCACTGAACTCTGCATAAAATTGCAGTGCTGGCCCCAATCCCTCTCATTTTTTACAGGTGAGCAGGTAAGCACGTCTATTATCTGTATATCTCCATCATGGTATAGTACTAGAGCTGAAAATTCTAGAAACAATTGGTTCAAGCATAATTGAAAAAAATAAAATTTCCAACTAATGAAATTCTTCCTATGATTACTCTTGTATATTCATTATTCTCAGCTAAACTTGTACTTATGAATAACCATCCATGTTTAGGGAACCTTATACATCTAAGTGATTGCTACATGTGAGATGATTAAAGATGAAAGGAATTATCGCGACTGTTGTCATGATTTATGGGAATTTGTTTTTCAAAATAAAAAATGTTTTAAAGGCTCATTCCTCCTATTGACTTCATTTTATACCTACCAAGGCCATATGCAAGTATATCATTGATGAACCTTATCATGCATATGACTGCTTGACATTATATTGAGCTTTGTCAAATGTGTGTGACTCGTGATAGACATCTTTCATATTCTCATGATCAAGGGGTCATTTCCACTTTCATTTCCACATATTTAATCAAGCTAAGCTTCTACACCGGAAGTTAGCTTCCCACAAAAATTCCATTCAATAAAACTCCTACTTTAGACTATGTTTTCTTCTCCTAGAAGATCCTTGGCAAAAAGAAAATGAGAAAAGGAGGGAAAGGCATGGCTATAGAAGAAAAGAGAGAGAAATAAAGAGAGAAATAAAGCTTGCTCTCAAAACATTGAGCATGATGAAAAAAGTGCATATAGCCATGCCCCTTCCATATTCATGCAAGAAAAGAAAATTGGAGGAGAAAGTAAAGGAAAAAAGGAGAACCATTTCTTTATTCCATCATTCCACAAAATATTTTACTTTCCCATTTTTCCACCACAAATAAAGACCCTTGATTTAGGAGTATGACTGATGATCTTCTTGAGTCCATATTTTTGGCTTTGCAATATATATGATGCAGGTATGTCACAATTTATCACTACCGAGCTCCACATATCAGCCTTAGAATAGAGATGAGTTCTAGCACACTTCGTCTTGGTGAGCATCCACAAGAAAATATATATCCTTGAGAGATAAAAGTCAATATGAGGAAAAGAGCTGGTTTGCGAAAATTCATAAAATCCCATGAGTCTGACAGGAGAAGCAAGAAGGACTGGAATCAAGATCGTTCCATTTATCAATTACTCAAGATGGTAAGTAGCTACTGATAAAGTTCGAAGGTGCAGGTATGGTTGTGAATGATTTATATGCCTGAATTATATCTTGGAGAAATTCATTCTACGCTAACCTTTACTCAGGGACAAGTAAAGAGCGAAGTGTGGGGGGTTTTGTTGGCGGCTGTTAAATGCCGATTCTATACCGCCAACATCTGCATAAAGTTCAGATAATAAAACATCAAACATAGTGATAGGTGTTTAATCTCACATATTCCATGAGTGTTGGTGTATATTTGTATGCAGGTATTAAACCCCGAAGTTGGGAGGAAATCTAGACTAAAGTGAGGAGAAACATGTATCCATACAAGGATGGGTTGTGAACTTCATCAAAATATCAAAGACTCAGCCAAAAACTCCGAGAAATAGATAGAGGAGGACAAGGGGAGGAGATAGGCCGAAGGCCAGGCTAGGTGGGCCTAGCCCAGGTTCAGCCGAACCAAAATCTCAGCCGTTCAGGCTGGGGTTTGGCGTGGACGGTTCTGATCATCTCCTGATGGCGGTTGCGGGGCATTTCTGACAATTCGCGTTGTACAACCGTCATACCTACCTCTATATAAGGAGCTTCACTCCCTCACACACTTCTAAGGTTGAGCTGAATTATAAGAGGCTCTATTGTACTATATTTTATTCTGTTTATTACTCTGATTTCAATATAATATTCTTCCTGAGTAATTTAGATTTATCTTATGAGAATTATCTCTTGGTTAGTTCCTAAATAGCATACCGGACTAAAATATAGTAATTACTTTAGTGAGTTATAAACACTTAAGTAGATATTAATTGCTTAGACGTAGTGTTTAGGTGATTATTATCCAATAATTGCTGCGTATCCCATAGTACGTTTGAGGTAGGTGTAGAGGTGGTGATAGCTATCGAGATCACTTAAGTCCTCCCTGTCCGGGTACGTAGTAGAGCGACATCTGGGAACAACGGGTTGCCAGTGCCTGAAGTATTACGTTAGGATTAAACTTAAGCTTTCCCAGACATTGTTTCTCACCAATAAATCATCTATATCCTGGCCTATCCTTTGCTTGGTGTCCTTGAATGAACCGGAGGAAGATCTGACTACATACGTTCCCTTGGATTCGATACCCTTGGAATACTCTGTAGGGGAAGTGCTACATTAATATATCGTGCGCTTGCGGATTTTATCTGTGACCGTAAGAATTACCAACACCTACCTAGGGAGATGAGTGTGAGAGAGAGGAGGAAGGGAGAGGAGGGGAAAGAGAGGCTGACATGGAAAGAGGAGGAGAGAGAGAGGAAGAGAGGTGGAGAGAGGAGGGGAAGTAGAGGCTGACATGTGGGACCCACGTGGGTCCAACGCTGAGTCAGCTGCCACGTCGGTCAAAACCAGAGTCAAAAACACCGAGGGACCTAGTTTGCATTGGTTTTGTAAGTTAGGGGATGCGTTGTATCCGGTTTTGTGGTTAGGAGATGCTTTTGTAATTTGCCTTCGGTGTACTTTTTCCTTCTCAGAATCTGAATAAACAGACCCCTCGACTGGCACATGCGAGCTGTTTGCGTGAGAGAGCGATGGCCTACAGCTTGCTTAGGCCCTGTTTGGTTCACAGGGACTAAAATTTAGTCCTTGTCACATCGGATGTTTGGACACTAATTTAGAGTATTAAACATAAATTAATTAAAAAACACATTCCATAACCTTGGACTAATTTGTGAGACGAATCAATTGAGCCTAATTAATATATGATTAACCTATGTGATGTTACAGTAAACATTTGTTAATTATAGATTAAATTTAGGCTTAAAAAATTTGACTCGCGGATTAGTCTCATTTATAAAATTATTACTGCAAATTAGTATCTACACAGGACTAACAAATTTTAGCCCATCCAAACACCCCCTTAGTTTGATTGCACTAGGCCGTGTCCTGTGGGCCTTTCAGTAGACAAAATGATGGCCCGGATGTATCAGAACTAGGCTAGGGCCCAGCCCAGAGGGCAGTGTTGACCAGCTTTGACCACCGGATAAAGTCTACTTGAGGTCCCTTAAGTACGCCGAATCTAATTCGTATCTCTTAACTAGAAAACTAGATAAAACCAGTGCAATTTGACTCCTTTAGCGGTTTTGGAGGGTAGTTTTGCTGACATGGCACTGATGTGGCGGCATTGACCTGGTCTTTGTTCCACGTGGCGCTTAGGTGGCATTAGAATTAAAAAAACATATGTGAGACCCACTTGTCAATAAAAAAAATTATGGGACCCACTGACATGTGGGACCCACATGTCATCCTTTCTCCCTCCAACCCTTCTTTGTCCTCCCTCTCTCTCCCTTATCTACGGACTAAGAAACAGATGGTGGCGGTTGAGGAGGCCGGAGGCCCTGGAGCGGCCTCTTTCGCTCTTCATCAACGGCTGGATGTCCTCGCACCCTCGGCAACTACTTGAACGGAAGGAGAGAAAGAGAGAGAGAGAGAGTTCATAGCTTGCGAGTCGGCGGCACGCTCCGGCGTGGGCCCGGGTGCGGGCACCGGACCATCGGTTCAACGCGGATACACAGAGCGGTGGCTGCGGGTTAGCGCCACCTGCCCGGTGTGCTGTGACTTGCCGTTATCGTCACCGTTGGCCACACAGCTCGCAGAGGCCATGAAGAAAAGAGAGAGATAAGGGAGGCAGAGGGAGGAGGAAGAAGGGTCAGAGGGAGAAAGGATGACATGTGGGCTGCACATGTCAGTGCGTCCCAATATTTTTTTAATGACAAGTGGGTGGGTCCTACATATAATTTTTAGTTCTACCACCATGTCAATAAAACCACCCTCGAAAATCGACGAGAGAGTTAAATTGCACTGATTTCAATAGTTCGGGAATCGTCTAGTTCTCTGGTTAAAGGGTACGAATCAATTCAGCGTACTTTAAGGAGTCAAAGTGTACTTTTTCCTTGACCACCTTATCCAACTCCTTGTGCGATTGAGCCCAACCCCAGCAGCGAGCGCAACGGCAACGCCTTGTTGGCGACCGGCCGCCGCCGCCGCCCGCCGGCGGCCGGGCGGCCAGCGGGGGGTGGCTGATGAGGGCTCCGCTGGGCGGCCAGCATATGGGGGTGCGGGCGCCACAGTCCGTAGAAGCGCGGGGAGGCTGCGACTGGGTAGCCAGGCGCGTGGAGCGGTGGAGGCAAGCGGCGGCCGGTGGGGGAGGCGGCTGCGTGCGCTCGGTGTCTGCGTCGCATCGAGCATTCGAGCTGGTGGAAGGAGCCTATCGAGGAGCTGAGCAAGCGAGCTGTGGTTCTCGATTACTGATTTCCTGGTGGCTGAAAATCAGCGACGGAAGGTATCTCAAAGAGGTAGGTTAGGTTAGGTAGGACATTGGGCAGTATGTTTCCGATTAATCCTATTTATTTGGTACAAAACCGATTGAATGACTGAGATTCATCGCTTGTTTGTCAGATTTGAATAGCTATTTTAACCGTGGGTGATGTGCCACCAACCCCAACTACTTGTGGTAATGGAATTGTTGCGGTGGAAGAGGCTGGTGAACAGGTAGAAGAGGTGGAAGTACAATTGGGTTCATTTCATATTGCTTGACGAGCTGAACAGGTAATCTAAGCATGTTTGCATGCGGATTAATTTTAGTTGTTGGTCTATTTAGTGTCATATAAACGATGTAGTCGCATTTGTGTTTAGGCGAAGTTGTTTTCGGTTTTATTGTTGATCTTCTCTGCGGCACCCGGGCACACCTCAGATTCTTACCATCCTCCACCACCACGGACAGATATCAATGTTTCAACGGGCTCGGCCCTCTAATTATTTAGATTTTGTTTAAACAAACTATGTAATATAGGAATGACGGTAATATATATATTTGCCGGTTGCCGTCAGTCTTGATTAGCATCGTTGGGACTAGGGAGCCCACAAGATCAAAGAGTTATATAGAACTCATACTCCAGTTCCTTGAACCTTATTCCCTCACATCTTGGATCGATTTGCGGATAACTGAATTAGCTGAACACCCTCCACACGCTGGCACTGAGAACTACACCAGCGTGGAAGCGGCGACTTCAGGGGCTATGGGAATAGGATAGGAGATTGTGAAATCACATCACTGCGTACTAGTTAAGCTGCTAGTAAGTTTCAAAGCTGGGGCCAAAAGTCTTGTTTGCAACATGATGGTGCACATATCCTCTATACTTGTAGTTCTGACTTCTTATGGATTAATTCACTCAATTAAGAAGAAACAAAAAATTAAACTCCTCTAACTCCAGATTTTACAAGATCATACGCGGGTGGTTCTCAATATGAGAGGGGAGCCCAGGCAGTTCGGTGCCTTACAGCATTTATATACAAGGAATTGATAAACTTTGTCACAAGAAAGAAACATGCATAGGCACATTAGTAAATCTCTCAACTCAAGGCTGGAGAGAGTGCACTTCAGCTAAGAATAACTACAATAAACTCTGACCTAATGTGGTGAAAAGAAACAGATTCTACTTATGAACAGAAATGCATCATCTTGCATTGTCATCTCCCAATTGAAAGATTACTAATCGTGCCTAAACTCTTCAACGACGAGTCAAACCCTTGGTTCTGCATGAGTGCTGACAGGCTGAAAGTAAAGCGCATTGGTGACATCTCTGGGAGGGGCATATCTCCGTTGAGGTACTGCACAACTTGTCGCATGGTTGGCCTTACATTAGACATTGGGTGCGAGCACAAGAGCCCTAACTTCAATACTAAACTTGCTTCACTAATGTTAATGTTGCCGTTAAGTCTTGGGTCAATAACAGCAAGGATCTGTTCCTTGCTGCAATTCTCAAACACCCAGTCCGTCAGCAGGAGTCGATGCCCTTCGATGTCTTGCTCGACAGGCCTTCGCCCACTGGTGACCTCAAGGAGAAATGCGCCAAAGGCGAACACGTCGGTAAGAGGGGATGCCTTCCCGGTTAGTGCTAATTCGGGGGCCATATAACCAAAGGTACCTGCAACAACTGTTGTTTGTAGCTCGGTGTCACGGTTGTAGAGCCTTGCGAGCCCGAAATCACCTAGCCGTCCATTCATGTCGTTGTCAAGGAGCACATTGCTTGGTTTGATGTCCCGATGGATAACAATTTGCTCCCACTCCTCGTGAAGATAAAGCAAGCCAGATGCAATACCTTTTATAATCTGGAACCTTTGAGCCCAATTCAGAGTAGGCTTGTCATCATGGCTGTACAAATATTTGTCGAGACTACCATTTGGCATATAGTCGTAGACCAAAAGAAGTTCTTCTTTGAGCCGACAGTAACCAAGCAGTTGTACGAGGTTGCGGTGCCGGAGGCGACCAATGCTTGCTACCTCAGCAACAAACTCCTTTATTCCTTGCCTTGAGTCGTGTGATACCCTCTTCACAGCAACCTCCGAACTAGAAGTAGGAAGCACTCCTTTGTACACCCTCCCGAACCCTCCAATTCCAAGCAAGTTCTTGTTCTTGAACCGTTCTGTTGCCTGAAGCAAATCCTTGTATGACAGTCTATGTGCTCCAAACTCAAGCTCCCAATCTTCACGCAGTTCGACATATCTCTGAAACTTCCTCTTAATCAGTAGAAAAACACCAGCAGCAACGACAATCACAAGCACCACCGAGACTATTGGTAGAGCTATCACCATGGTCTTGGGCGGATAAGACTTCTTGCTTCTTCTGCCAGGTAACTTGGGAAGCTTGTCCATGTCAATGGCCGGAGCTTGCGTGCCCACACCGAAGCTCCAGCCGAGCACGTAGTGTTGCGAGGTCATTGTGCCTATCGACGCTGAGAAGCCCACATATGCTTCATCGGTGATCACTGTTGAGAGGTTGGATCTCGTAGAGACCAATGGCTTCATGGGCTTCTTGATTCCTACCGGAGCAAGCCTCACGTCAATCTGTGTAGCATCGTCGTCATAGTCCACCCATACTTGCATGGCTTTCCCACTAACCAGTGTTAGACTCTTGAACTCACCGGTGTTGTCATCATAGTAGCCGGCATCAGAGGCATTTGAAGACACAAGGCTATTGATGTCGATGCCGACGTGGTTGTCGTCGATGTCGGAGAATTCGGGGCTCTGGATGGTATCAAGCTCAACCGCGAAGATGTGATTTCTGTTGTCGCCGTTGCTTGATCTGTTGAGGAATCCCAGGTATGTGCTGGCGAGCCCGGAGGAGAGGTCCTTGGTTGGGGTGATGACGAGGGCGATGCCATGGCCGCCGACACCAGGGGAGGCAGTGACGATGCCGAACACAAAGGACGCCGAGAAAGACCGCACTGCTGCCTTCTTCTCCCCGCCTTCTGGTGACGACAACTCCTCGAAGCGCAGCGGCGTCGGATGGAATGCGTGGCCTTTAACCTGCGGCTTGCCATTGGTCAGCTCGAGTAGGCCATCTGGTGTGACCATGGCCGTGCCGTCGAGGGTTAGGTCCTTCACTCCGGCAAAGCCGGAGTAGGCAAACTGGTCCCCGCCGTTGCCGTCACCGGCAGCAGCAACGGCTGCTGCAAGATGAACGCCATAGAGGAGGCTACACTGTAGACACAATATGCAAACTGGCTTAACCATATGCTGCATATCTGAATTCTGTGTTATCTCACTAGCTAGCTTCTCTCTAGTGTTAATGGACAATGTATTCTCTCATTAGCTTGTACTTACCAGAATGGTTTATATGAACATGAGCTGAAGGTTTCAGTCCAGCTGCGCAGCTTGTCAGTTGAACTATTCCTGGTGTGATAGTAATGTGGAATCATGGAATTTTTCTTTGAATAATCATCATGCAGGGAAAAGCTAGGTCCTGTGTGTGCTCATCTCCTGGTAGATTAATTCAGAGTTTCAGAATTCAACACTTGGGGCGGCGTCCAACTCTAATTAATGTGTTCTAAGGAAAAATATCTCAAGTGCTGAACAGGACTGGGTGTACCTGACAATTATAGAAGTGTTGATGTAGAAACTTTGTGGAGAAATGGTGCCAAAGTTTGATTAGTTTGGTTTGACCTTGTAGAGAACTCAACGTCCAGTGGCTACTGCCTAGTGAATCCAAGTGAAGATGCACCTGTTATCCAGGCTTTGGTTCAGGGAGAAAAGTTGGGTGTTCTTGCTTGCAAGTTGTTGTGTACCGTCTATACAGTAGACTTTAGTTATTTGATTTGCAGACAATTTAGCTTCGGTTTCATTAACTCAGGCAGCAATTTCAACCTGCATGTCCATTAATTATCTATTTGTAGTGCTTGTTATATCATATGCCATTAATCTTTTTATAGGTAAATAATATCATGCATACGTGTGCCTATTGACTTCTCATTATGCCGTACTATCGTAACTTCGAATAATATAATCTTTTGTTTTCTGAAAATTTAGATGGCCATAATTTTTTTTTAAAAAAACATTTTACTCCTCCTAACTATTTCACCGGAGCACATAACTCCCTAAACTATTTTTTTTTCATTTTACACCCTTAGCTATTGAAGCTATTGAAAAGGGTTCAGCTTCATTCCTACCACTATTTCTCTCTTTTTTCATCTATACAAGTCATAGTTCGCATTAAAAATTTAGGACAATACAGATGCATTCACAACTTACGTATCAACATTGTTTTATTCTTTTTCTCACTTCGCGTAGGATGAAAGCGCATAAGCCCGATTTAAACACCAAAAATTTAAAGTTAAAGCAAACAACCATGAAAACAAATTTCAACTTCGATAATGGTGCTATCTATGTCTAAGAAATTTCAGCTTTAAATACAACTTATATAAATAGTAACAAAAAAGACAAATGTCAATAAGTAGTAAAGTGATCCATTTCAATGGTTTAATAGTTTTAGTGGTAAAAATGAACCAAAAGTAGTACAACAGGTTAAGCGATACATTGAAGGAAATTGCTATGCATATGATCCAAATGTCCGACTCATGTAAGACTGTATTTTAGTGTATATGAACATGCTCTCCTTTGATTGATCTATGGTTACATGTCTCTATTCGTACAACGGGTCATACGTATAGCAGTACTCTACATTGAATTAAGTCAAGGGAGTAAAATGGAATTTTTTTTTCTTTTCATTTTATACTGACATGTCCTTGAAAAAAATATGCTATACTTGCTAAGGGTGTGTTCTAAATAGCTTTTTGGGATGGCTACTTCCCAAATTCATAAACTATGTAAAAAATTTTCTATATAGATGTTTCTTTTTTTAAAAAAAAGTTTATAATAATTAATACTCTATTAATCATGCACTAATAACTTATCTCGTTTTGCATGCCGCCCAGAAATCTCAGTCCAAACGCTGAAACGAATAAGCCCAAGAGAACCATTCATGAGAAAGTTTAGACTTCACTATGTGACAATATTTGAAACAATGCGCTTGTTTGAATTGAAGCCAATTTTTACCCACCCAAAATTTTGGCAACAATGTTTGGTTTCTTTCATAGTTTGAATTCTACATTATTAAATTTGGTAATACCAAAACTTGTCAAGGTAAGTTTTTGACACTACTAAAGTTTTTGGCCAAAAATTGGCTCCAAATCAAACAGGCCCAATATTATCATATAAAGATTAATTCTTTTCATGAGGATAAAAAATCGGATAAGTAGTGAAGATTGTCTTGGTCGTGTAAACACGAAACTGTAAGGAATCTGCTACGTTTGATTCTGAAATTCAGTGAAGTCAAAGATAATCTGGTCAGATGTCCTGCAGGGCTGCTTATGACTTTCTCTGTTAATTGAAAACCACATGAGGAAAGCTCAGACACGTCATTTTCAGGCAACTTTAGAACATTAGCTAGCTTGTGAGGAAAAGGAGAGTAGGAGACTACTATTTCTGTGAAGATAAGAACAGAGTAATGGACAAAATGAAAACCCAGGGACAAGAACAGATGAAGAATTGAAGCTTCTCCCAGATGAAACAACCCACAGGCCCCTTTACATGAGAATGTTCTCACTGTATTACACTGTATATCATCTTAAAACCTCGTATGCAACTAAACACTGTTTAGTTTTGAACATTAACATGTAAACAAAATCTAGATTGAGACATGAATTTTGTAGAGTTTTGCTAGATTCATTACCATATATGTATTGAATCTAGCAAATTAGGGGTTAACTAGCAAAAAAAAAATCAACAGCTAATATATATTTCTCTAAAAAAAACAGCTATCATATATATGGTAGTGATGATATGTATGCCTGAATTTAATTTTAAATATCATCAGGCGAGGGCTCTTTAGAAAAGTTAGAAAAATTGAAGCCGGGATGCAAAGCCGTTGACATGTAGAAAGCAGGGTTTCCCAAGCTACCAGCGATAGGGTTTGATAAAAATTGTTCGAATTTAAACATAGAAAATCCCCAAAAAATTCTAATAATAGTATATGATTTTTAAGATACCTGGCAATAAAATTGTGGAAAATGCTAAGCTAACTCCATATTTTGGCATGATGACGAGGTTTGATCCTTGAAAATCACTCTGTGGACATTATATCGTGCAATGATAGTTGTGGACGACGTAAAGTCCTAATCAATTGGCATTAGTCCTTATCTCTTCACCTCGAAATGCCTAGCGAAAGGCGGCTTCTTGGGCAAAAAAAAAAAGCTTTGACTTTTGGCCCCTTCCCTTCCTTCTCCGGTGGCCACCCAGTCGTCGGCGTCTAGGAGAGGGGGTTCGGCTCCTTTCTCCACTAGTAGATAGGTTTAGGTCTAGTTAGGTCTCTCCCGTTCTTTGTGTAGCTAAAGAGGGTCGCCAATGTTCAACTCTTCTTGTATCAACTTGACGGACATGGTGGACCTCATCAGCGTTCTTGCTGGCATCGTCTTCCTGCCCGGTGAAATGATGGGTTTACCTCCAACACCTTTAGTTGGGAGTTTTGCTGCTTTGCTTAGGTTTGAAGACTTGTCCTCTAGGCTATCAAAGAAAAGGTTGCGCCGACTATTTGCTCCATCTCCTGCGAGTCTCCTACACCTACGGTGGTTGTCTACTTCGTCTCTGACTGTAGCTTTGCAAAAGGTGGCTGATGATTTCTCCTATGGGCTAAGGTGACTTCAACATCCGTCGAGAGGCTCCCTTTGGATATGCTCATTGGCTCTACACATTGCAGCTAACCATGGTTCTTCTGCTCCTGCTGTTGCCATGAGTGAGGATCCAACCATCGCCAATGTGGTCGTTGGAAGGACTTGATTGTTTTTATCTTTTTATGTCCTCCTTTGCATATGTTATAATTGAAGTGTAATTAGCTTATCATTCAGGGGCTTTTATGCAAAACCAGCCGTTCTCAACCTCTTAAGACAGTGGGTCCATTTCAAGCTGTAAGTCTGCAACATTGAGCAACGATAGTATTCCAAATTACTTGTCTCGTGGTAGATTTGTTATAAGTTAAACATTGGTATCTTTCACCATTAGTTCTTTTTAGAAACAATGTAAAAACACATACGTTTATAATGGGTATACACTCACCTCTATAAATATACACATACATCGAGCTTCTCCGAAAAACTAAGCTGACATATCTTAAAATTAACGAAGTCACTACAGATATCTCATTGTCGATGGATACGTCGCCTACCACTGAATAATACGAGCAGTACATGTGTTAAGTCTAATACTTAAATCTGGGTGGGCTGGTTCCACCATAAAGAACTTAACCAGTTGAGCTATACTCACTTCGCTTTGACCATTGATTTTTAAAAATTCATGTAGTTTAATTAATATATTATGAGATATTTCTCGTAATAAATCTAAAAACATAAATACTATAATTAAATAGTATGATGCCAAACTAAATAAATTTCTAAAAATTAATGACCAAAGATAAAAAAATGGCTATGAAGCTAGAACGATGAGTAAGATTGAAGAGTTTGTATTTCTAAGAGAAACTTTGGTACAAAATCTTGGTTTAGACATGTACCGCTCAAGATTAACACTGTTGTTGATATGCTACTCCCTCCGTTTCATATTATAAGTCATTTGACTTTTTTTTCTTGACAAACTTGTTTAAATTTGGCCAAGTTTATAGAAAAGTATATTAGAATTTTCAACACAAAACAAACATATTATAAACATATATTAATATTAGATTTAATAAAACTAATTTGATATTTTAAATATTTCTAATTTTTTATATAAAGTCAAATAATTTATAATATGAAACGGATGGAGTACACTAGAATTAGGTTATTTCAAAATGTGGATATGTACTAAGGCAGAGCCTAGTATCAACACTCTTAAGAAATTACGAAGTACGAAGCAACTTATTTTTACCAACTTTTTTTTTTCGGAGAGGTGTTGACCAAAGGGGATCACATGCAGTGGCTATAGCCACTGCGACTTAAGCAGTCCTACCGACACCATTGGATTACAAATTAACGCCCTAGATTTTTCCTAAATACTGTTCACAAAGGACCGTACAAAGTTAGTTCCTGTAGCATGTACTGTAGCAATTACTGTTTAATACACCTGTAGCATTTGTTTCAGCTGTTAATTGTCTTGATCTAATGATGAAAAATGATTCCAACTGCTAAACTTGTAGTCTCTACTATGACTGCACCGGATCCTAATCCCTAAGTCAGGTTGTTTCGAGGATCGAACTACTATATTTAATTATAATTATGTCTATTATGCCTACCCTCGGTACACCCACTTGAATTTGACCATGCGCATATATATATAGTATATTTTGTTATGAACACACATTCGCACAGAGCCAATTACATGCATATCGCTGTTTCAATTCCATCCCTTTGAACAACACTATTGACACGGTATATTTGACCAGATCAGTCCATCCTTTTCTTCTAGATCAGGCAATGCCATGACCCGAGCTTTAGTTTTCCCAGTTCCCCCACCCTCCCCTTCAGCTGGTCAGCCATGCATGCAAATGCAATTATGCGGTTAAGGCTGTGTTCGTCCCTATCTCTTCTCTCACGCGTATGTAAAACACAACGAGTTATTAGCGTTTGACAAATTAAGCATTATCTAAAGAAATTTAAAAATAGATTAATATGAGTGTTTCAAGCAACTTTTCTATACAATTTTTTTTTGTTAAAAAGAACACCGTTTGCGCATGAAAATGAAGATACAGTTGCAAAAGGCAAGTTTGGATATGCTAATAGTGGCTAAGATTAACCAGGCCTCAAAACGGCCATTTTAGTCCAACATGAATATAATGTATCATATATTTTTAATTATCGAATGAATTTATTAGAGCCCCTAAATTAATCTAGAATATATAAAGCTAGAAGTTCTCACAACATTTTA